AAACTTTGCATGCTTGAAAATTTAAAATAAAAATAAATCTTACATGTTTTAAAAGACACCTTTTAATTAAATTAGTTTGCATATTGACCTTGTTTGCGGAGTCACTGATTGTTCCTGGGTTCGCTTTAGTCCCATTTTAGAGCTAACTTTACTAACATACTCTTGCTTCTTGAGTTCGTGAAACGTCAAGAACCTCTAATGCGTCCATTAGACACTTTTTTTCGAAAGTGATCTTAGAAGTTGAAGGGTATATGTTACAATCTAAATTATTAGTATTTCAAGAAGATCCTATTCAATATCAACTTTGTTCATTAGTTGTTTTTCTATTTTAACGTCATTCCGGAAATCTTCTTCAGGCGAATGTCCCTGATAAAAAAATAGAGGCAGTTAACAAATACTTAATCATAAAAATTGTAAACTTAATTCATAAAGTCTTTTTGGAGGAACGACACCCCACAACCGTTATACCGAGGAACGACACCCCATACTCAAAGAAGGAACGACACCCCCTCCAAGCTGTATAACAGCAAAAAGACCGCAAGATCAATGCGAGGAACGACACCCCATGCCTTTAAGAGGAACGACACCCCATGCCTTTAAGAGGAACGACACCCCTTCAGGTTGCACGATCTCACGTTTGGCTATTTAGAGATATAGAAAATTAACATGCCTGCTGAAGTAAGTAAATGGCGTATTTTTTGGTAATATCATTTTTCTCTTCAATAAGAAGGTTACTTAAGTAAGGTAACGTTTTCTACAGATGGCTTTTTGGTCTTCCAACGTACGAGCTTCAGAAATGCAGTAAGGCCTTATTGTTTTCAGATATCCCATGTATGTCCATTCTTGTAAAGGTGTATTCTTGAAATATAAATCTATCGCTTCTAAATAAGGTTTGATATATATATCAGATGAAAATGTTTTTACAATTTAAATATCCGTGTCTAAACATGTTTTATCATCAAACAGAGATTTCTCATAATCTATCTTGTGACAGAAATTAAATATAGTCAGATCAAATCGTGTGAAAATTCTTTTTAGGATAATACAGTCCGGGATATTTCCAAATTTGGGGGTCGTCTAAAGCCGTGTCCATCACGTGACCTAAAGCCAATAGAATTGTTTATTTTGA